CCGCTACACCCGCCCCCTGGATCTGCCAGTGGGAGGGAAGTGAGGTGTTCCCAGTAATACTGCTCCACAAAACAAAAAGACAGGTGGAGGAACAAGCAGTAAAATTAGTAGAAAATGTGGAATCCCGGTCCCAGCAGTTTCGGGAAGACTGCTGGTTACGTTCATAGCTCTAAAGTGCGCTATAACACAGCCAATCAATGCATCTGCAAAAAACACCTGTTGAAAAGAGCGGTGCTTGCCGTTCTCAACACAAGAGGAAGAGCAGCATTTTGTGAGCAATTCAATAGAGTCGAAAAGCCGATTGATATCCACTGACTGCGGTAAATGGGTGAGGAAGTTGACAATTTCATCGAAATCATCCATCGCTTGCAGCTCCTCTTCGTACAGATGCAGTATGCCTGTAAAAACATACATCAGTAGACATAATATCCACTCTTGGATTACTGCATGTTTCCTCAGAAAGTCAGATTACTAAGCTATTGGATTACTGCATGTTTTCTAATAACAGGTGTACCACTGTCGCGTGCCAAAGCCACAACTAAAACGAGTTCTTAAAAGGTATCACGTGTTTTGTTTCTAGCACAAATAGTGGATAAAAAAACCTCAGGAGTGCAGCTTAGGATGGAGATTCCTAACACCCCATCCAGCTTATGAGTCCTAGTAATCCAGACAATCCTAGTAACAAGATGCAGTTTTTTAAACATAGACGCACAACTCATCACTGGTCTCAGGTCAGCCAAGTTTTTAAAATATACCTTATCCAACTGTACATTAATATCAAAACGCAATAACTAAATAACAAACAACAAATAGCAATGCGCACTAGACTAGCTGGTGCGGCCATGCGTTTTGTGCAATTCAGCCCATCGAACGTTTGCCTATTAATGATTTTCATTTTGCTTTGTACTTTAGTCAATGCAAAAATAGTTCAAACACTGGAAAACAGTTAAAAATTTCACGCACCAGCGCATGAAAGTTGAATTCAAAACCTTGAAGGGTGAATATCTTTCTGTGATTCCCGAGTTAATAGTCTACCCGCCAAAATTTTCACTAGGTTGTAGGTGGTACTCAAGGGCGCGGGAACGCTGAATTTGAATAGGGGAGGTTGAGCGCGGGCAGGAGGTCATTATCCTAAAATTTCAGCCTCCAAGACTCCGTGGTCCCCGAGATATTAATTTACCCGTAAAAAGCATTCACGGGGCCATACATGTTACCCGTAGATACGGAAAAGCTGAAATTAAATTTGCTGGATCAAACGTGGGTGGGGGAAGTTCCCCTAAATTTTCAGCTTCCTAGCTCTTGTGGTTCCCGAGTTGAAAGTTGCGGACAAGTTGCAGCGGACACACACACACACACAGACAACCCCGTGACAATATGTATTTTGCACTGCTCTTACACAGCACAAGACGCATAAAAAATTAGGCTAATGAATGGTAGGATTAAAAAATAAGTCCAGAGCTCTCGATGAGGGGGCACATAATTTTTAACTTCACTTCTCGTTACAAAACCCTGTTATAAAATATACAAGGCCACATGCAGTGACTCTGCTCACTGTCAGCCCCAAAAATTTACAATAAACTTGTAGATCCTTATGTTTGGACTAGTGATCTTAACTCTAAAACTTGGATAACTGGATAATCCGAGAACACGCATAGCTACAGCAGTCAAATTTTTCGAGGCTAATTTCAAACAACACGCCACACAAATAAATCGGCACTAACCAAGCGCTGTGGTGAACAGGAATTGCTCACCATCACGCAAAAATACATCCCAAATTCGGCAGCTAACATCGAAAGGCAACGATTTTGCATACAACGTATATAGCCTATAACAACAATGATCGAGATAAGTACATAATCATGCTCAACAAATTAACAAAAGGATAAATTTTCCGAAAAAACCAATCGCAAAAACGCTTTTCAACTCGGGCTCTCTATGTTACTCTGTTTTTTTAGGATGCATTTTGGAAAGCGAGGACGATGTTTTGTCCTTCTTTCTCCTGCTCACCTTCAGTTATTTTACAGTAATGAACCAAAAAGATTACCACTCGATGAGGTATAGATCAGGCCGTACATCGAGCACATCAAAATGATGGTGCAATTTTGGTAGCTCTTGCTCGAAGTATTGATCGTATGCAATAAAATAAACTGTCATCTGAGGCTGACGCAACCCGAAAAAAGCTAGCTGCAAAAGAGCAAAATTTTTTTTTAGCTTTCGAATTACATTAGAAGAACTGATTCTTCGGCAAAGGAAAACAAACACACCCCATCCAAGTGACTCAAAAGAATAAAACAATCAGTGTGTGGCTAAAGGCATTGGTAATTCGTATTATCTCTAAGCTATTGGCAAACTCTTGTTTCGTCTTTTAACAAATCCCACGGAAAACTGATCAGTATCTGAGGAATTTCGTTCTCATAAGCAAAATTCGATTCCTCTTTTTTTGCTATAACTTGTTATTCCATCACGAAAATTAACCCGAAGAGCTATTCTTTATTTGAATATTTTATAGTTATGAAAAAGGTTGTAGCAAAAAACAGTAAATAAAAGTGAAAATAAAAACTGAATTGGAAAATTTCGGTTCGTGTCTTACTCATTCTTCATGCGAGACCATCAATCACTAGCGACGCGCACCGGCGGGCCCATGCGATCATGCGCTTTTGCAGTGTTTCGTGCTGTAATAAGATCATTCGAAATTCCGCTAGCTAGAAACCTCTTGTACAT